TCTTCATCATCTTCCAAAGTAAAAAAAATCCCAGCACAACCAGCAACATCTACTACTCTAGATACAATTTTATTAAGTTATCGGATTTTAGTAATTCTATTACTTCAAGGCCTTCATAAATGCTACACAATCTTGATTTTTTATGTTCTCTGTCGTCCCGTAGCTTTGTCTCTTCCTCCATAAAAACACGTATTTGATTCAATATAATCACTCGGTTTCCTTTCTGGACTTTGAATTATCTTCTCTTGAGTTTTTTATATGATTGAAATATGATTAAATGCGTTGGCAATTGCTATAATTGCTATTATTCATCATCGATCAATTGACCGTTTCAATATAATATGAACGTCTTAGTGTTTCATTGACGTTTGATAAAATATAATTAGGGTAAATTACACCTACATCCTGAGGTATGCTAAAATAACTTTAAGATCCTTGTGGTATTGTTAATTACAGCCACACCCCTGGAATAATTACCGGAGCCAAGATTTCATGTCCTGGGGACCGATATGCACTATATTCGTTTCCCGCAGGGCCGGAAATTGTACGATAGACGAAAATCTATAAATCTTATATAAAATAATAAGGATTTAAGAAATGTTAGGAGAGCCATGTCACCCCCTAGCTCTATGTTGTCCCCACCACTGCCTGGAACTAATAGTCCGTTAGAACCCCAAATGAAAAACTTTTCCAATGATTTATTCCGTTAGGGTTTCTAACAATGTTTCAGGGGGTTGATTGTAATTACCAATACTGCAGGGACCCTAAAGTTATTTTAGCATACCTCAGGGGATAGGTGTAATTTACCCATATAATTATTTTTAAAAGAGTACATGAAGCTTGTTTAGGAATTTTCTTGGAGAAAATTTCTTCACCCCCTATATATATATATATGCCTTCTTTATTTGATCCGTTTCATTTACTAATTTATATTATATTTATGAATCTCGATTCTTCTTAAATATATTTATATTCAATAGGAAAATTTTCTTTATTCAAATGAATTTTCTATATTCCAATCAAAATTGTAAAAAATAAGAATATCAAGAAATTTACGAATAGGTCCTTCCCTCTTTCGTAATTTCTCAAAAGGTAGTTGAGTAAGTCGCCGAATTAGCTTAAACGTGAAAGACGGCTCACACAACTACCTGTCCATTTCGAGCTGGTTTGCGCATTTTAAACAGCTTCCAATTTCAATGAGTAATCGATGTGGGATAGCATCTGACTTTAGTATTAGTTTCTTCGTATTTTTTCTAGTTCTCAAATATAGGCATAAATTTTATATGCCTATGTTAGCGAATATCAACGATGATCAAAGCACTGGACAAATTTTCTTTCCTTTCTCCAATTGTGTAGACATATCTCTTGATTTTTATCTTCTCCATTGTTCCGTTACTCTCTCTTTTTCCTCCAGAATAATTACGTGATGTTCTGATTTTTATAAAATAAAACTGATGAGATCTGAGAAATTTTCGGACTAATTTTATGATATTTTCTACTTTAGGAGGGGTTAAGTTCCTCGTGCCAAAAGATTTCACCGACAGCAAAAAAGTCATATCCGGTGAGTTCTTGTAAATACTTGCTTTACTTGATCAATTTTATTTACCTATTTACATTATATTTTAATGAATCTCGTTTCTTCATTATCGTATAGTTTTCATTAGGTAATAATAATCATAGCATGTTTACTTGTTTCCAGTGCTTAAAATTTACTCAAACCATAGTTACTACTGCAGTTAGTCATAGCTTTCTGATTCAATTATGATATTCAGTAGGGAAAAAAAATTATGATATTCAGTAGGGAAAAAAAAATATTCAACGGGATATTTGTTGATTCATATATAATCGGGGTTAGTATTACTATGAGTAGCTTTTTGTAATTTACCCAAAAGTTGATTCATATATAATCGGGGTTAGTATTACTATGAGTAGCTTTTTCGTAATTTAGCCAAAAGGTAGTTGGGTAAGTTGCCGAATATAACGTGGTAGACGCCTCGCCCAACTACCTGTCCTTTTCAAGCGAGTTTGAGCTTAATAAACAGCATAACATTTCAATGCGTAATCGATGTGGGACTAGAAAAACTAAATTCTCGATAGAGGTGTCTTAGTTCTTTATTTTATTTTTTCCTATTTAATTACGCGCATGCTTTGTTTAAAGGTGAGTAATAATACAAGCAGGGATTAAAATTTATCCGCCTCTTATATACGCTTGCTTAATGTAATCAATTTTATTTATTTATCTATATTAATTTATGAATCTTGCTTCTTCTTAATTATACAGCTTTCATTAGGTAATAACAATAATATTACACATTTTACTTGTTTCCGGCGGTTATAAATTACTCAATCGTAAATGCACCTAGGAATGCTTTCTCGTCGACTGAATTCAATAGCAAAATTTTCTGTATTGAACATGAATTTGTTGAGTCAACATGAAAAGTAGTAGTATATATCCCAATCAAAATTGTGAAAAATAAGAATATGAAGAAATTTACGAATAGGTCCTTGCCTTTTTCGTAATTTTCTCAAAAGATAGTTGAGTAAGTCGCCGAATTAGCTTAAACATGGTAGACGGCTCACCCAACTACCTGTCCCTTTCGAGCTGGTTTGCGTATTTTAAACAACTTAACATTTCAATGAGTAATCGATGTGGGATAACATACATCTCACTTTATTATTAGTTTCTTTTTATTTTGCTAGTTCCCGAATATGGGAATAAATTTCACATGCCTAAGTTCGGTTAAAGGTGTGTTACGGCCTTAAAAATATAAACGACAATCAAATTTAGTGAATTAAGTTTCTGAGTTCAATTAGGGTTATTGACGATCACCTTGTTATATATGAAAGCTAAAAAATACGAGGCTTGAAAAACTTCATAGTAATTGAAGTATGAATAAATTTATACTCCCAACCATCCCCATATTTGATGCCATATTTGTAGGAAAATTAGATGCTACATCTGGTTATTTACACTGGGTGGATTCGAATTGTAGATCTACACATAATCACACACACCCATGTGTATGTGTGCTTAGTAGGTAGTTATTTAATCAAATCCACAATTCAAATCCACCCGATATAAATAACCAGGTGTAGCATCTAACTCCCCATATTTGTATACCCATGCGGTGGTGCACGGACTTAGTTTTGCTACGAAATTTCGTATTCGTTGTTGAATAATTTTGTTAACTTTCCATTCAACGAAGGATATGCTAAAATTATTTAGTTCTCACGAGCGAATCAAGATCAATCTAAATCTACCCTAGATACCATTTTCTGGTGACATATAGTGAATTTTAGCAATTCAATTCGTTTAAGCCTTAATTAATATTAAATAGTACTGGCCAATTTTTCTTTCCTTCTCCGATTTTGAACAATTTTATTTACTGTTTAACATTATTTTACCGAATCTCGTTTCTTCGTAAGCATAAAGTTTTTCATAGTTTATATTTTCATAGCATTTTTACTTGTTCCAAGTTATTATTTTCATATTTACGACTACATGTAGTTATAGCTACCGGATTGAATTGTATTCAGCAGGAAAAAAAATTATTCAACGGGATTTTGTTGATTCATATATAACCGAGGTTAGTATTAATATGAGTGGGTTCATCCCTTTTTCGTAATTTACCCAAAAGGTAGTTGGGTAAGTTGCCGAATATAGCGTGGTAGACACCTCGCCCAACTACCTGTCCCTTTCAAGCGGGTTTGAGCTTAATAAACAGCATAACATTTCAATGCGTAATCGATGTGGGACTAGAAAAACTAAATTCTCGATAGATGCGTCTTAGTTCTTTATTTTATTTTTTCCTATTTAATTAGGCATAATTACTCGCATGCTTTTTTTTAAAGGTGAGTGTAATAAAATCAAACTTTATCGAATCAACCTTCTGATTTTCACTAGGGTCATTGACGATCACCGTGTTAACTATGAAAATCAAAATTTATTAGACTGGAAAAAACTTGCTTTATTTGATCAGTTTTATTTATTATACTAGCGTAAATTACACCTACACCCTTGAGGTATGCGAAAATAACTTTAAGATCGCTGTAGTATCGGTAATTACAATCACCCCTGAAACATTGTTAGAAACCCTAACGGAATAATGCATTGGATAAGTTATTCCGTTAGGGTTCAACAGACTATTAGCTTCAGGCAGTGGTGGAGACAACATAGAGCTCGTGGGGTGACATGACTCTCCTAACATTTCTTAAATCCTTATTATTTTATATAAGATTTATAAATTTTCGTTTATGGTAGCATTAACGGTCCCGCAGGAAACAAATACAGTGCATATCGGTCCCCAAGACATGAAATCTTGGCTCCGGTAATTATCTCAGGGTTGTGGCTGTAATTACCAATACCACAGGGACCTTAAAGTTATTTTAGCATACCTCAGGGATTAGATATGTAATTTACCCATTATATTATATTTATGAATCTTGATATTATATTAGAATCACTTAAGCTGGCTTAGATTAATTAGTATTTGGAAAGATTAGTGCGAATCAAAATTGTAAAAATAAGAATATCAAGAACGAGGTCCTTTCCCATTTTCGTAATTTTCTCAAAAGGTAGTTGAGTAAGTCGCCGAATTATCTCAAACGTGGTAGACGGCTCACCCAACTACCTGCCCGTTTCTAGCTGTTTTGCGCCATTTAAACAGCTTAACATTTCAATGAGAAATCGATGTGGGACTGAGGCAACTCACTTTATTATCGGTTTCTTCTTATTTTGCTAGTTCCCAAATATAGGCACAAAATATATATGCGTATTTTAATTAAAGTTGAGTTATGGCCTTAATATAAACGATAAACAAATATCAAATTTACTTTTTTTTTTGCTTCGAGTACTATTATTGGTCATGATTGTACCAGTCAAGTGATTGTTTCGACATAATATAAATTGTGTGCTCTCTTTAGTCTTCACTTTGCTCGGCTATTCCTTTGCGATTAGTTTTAATATTTGCTAAAGATTTTTTATTTTATTTTGTTGACAGAGTGCTCGAAACTTTTTTTGGGAATTTCCTGAAGAGAATTTATTCACCTCTTCAATGACATATAAGCAGGGTTAAGTTCCTCCAGCCAAAAGACTGCACCTGCAGAAAAAAATCATATCGGGTTAGTTCTTGTAAATACTTGCTTTATTTGATCAATTTTATTTACTTATTTGCATTATTTAAACGAATCTTGTTTCTTCTTAATCATATAGTTTTTCATTCGGTAATATAATCATAGCATGTTTACTTGTTTCCAGCTATTATAAATTACAGTTAAACCTCCATAAATTAATACAGTCGGGACTAGGGAAATTCTATTAATTTAGCGAAATATTAAATTATCGAGTTAATAATTTAGCACGTTCTCACCAAGTTGGGACCAGAAGAATTTATTATTTATGCGAGCTTATTAATTTGTCGAGGTTCTACTGTACTCAAATCATATTCACTACTGCAGGTAGTTATAGCTATCGGATTGAATTGTATTCAGTAGGAAAAAAAAATTTATTCAACAGTATTTTGTTGATTCGTACATAACCGGGGTCAGTATTACTAAGAGTGGGTCCGTCCCGTTTTCGTAATTTACCCAAAAGGTAGTTGGGTAAGTTGCCGAATATAACGTGGTAGACACCTCGCCCAACTACCTGTCCTTTTCAAGCTTCTTCGAGCTTAATAAACGGCGTAACATTTCAATACGTAATCGATGTGGGACAAGAAAAACTAAATTCTCGACAGAGGCATCTTAATTTTGTTTAGTTTTCCATTTAACGAATAATATGCCAAATTGTTAAGTTCTCATGAGATGCAAATTTATTAAGTTATCGGATTTTAGTAATTTTATTACTTCAAGCCTTAATAAATATCACACGATCTTGATTTTTTTATGTTCTCTATCGTCCCGTTACTTTGTCTCTTCCTCCATAAAAACACGTATTTCATTCAATAGAATCACTCGGTTTCCTTTCTGGACTTGGAATTATCTTCCCTTGATTTTTTTTATATGATTGAAATATGATTAAATGCGTTGGCAATTGCTATTATTAATCATCGATCAATTGACCGTTTCAATATAATATGAACGTCTTAGTGTTTCATTAACGTTTGTTAAAATATAATTAGGGTAAATTACACCAACACCCCTGGGGTATGTTAAAATAACTTTAAGGTTCTTGTGGCATTGGTAATTACAGCCACACCCTTGAATAATTACTGGAGCCAAGATTTCATGTCTTGGGGACCGATATGCACTATATTCGTTTCCCATGGGGCCGGTAATTGTACGATAGACGAAAATCTATAAATCTTATATAAAATAATGAGGATTTAAGAAATGTTAGGAGAGCCATGTCACCCCCTAGCTTTATGTTGTCCCCACCACTGCCTGGAACTAATAGTCCGTTAGAACCCCAACTGAATAACTTATCCAATGCATTTTCCGTTAGGGTTTCCAACAATGTTTCAGGGGGTTGACTGTAATTACCAATACTACAGGGACCCGAAAGTTATTTTAGCATACCTCAGGGGATAGGTGTAATTTACCCATATAATTATTTTTAAAAGAGTACATGAAGCTTGTTTAGGAATTTTCTTGGAGAAAATTTCTTCACCCCCTATATATATATGCCTTCTCTATTTGATCCGTTTCATTTACTACTTTATATTATATTTATGAATCTCGATTCTTCTTAAATATATTTATATTCAATAGGATTTTAATTTTATTCAAATGAATTTTCTATATTCCAATCAAAATTGTAAAAATAAGAATATCAAGAAATTTACGAATTGGTCCTTCCCTCTTTCGTAATTTTCTCAAAAGGTAGTTGAGTAAGTCGACAAATTAGCTTGAACGTGGTAGACGGCTCACACAACTACCTGTCCATTACAAGCTGGTTTGCGCATTTTAAACAGCTTCAAATTTCAATGAGTAATCGATGTGGGATAGCATCTGACTTTATTATTAGTTTCTTCGTATTTTTTCTAGTTCTCAAATATAGGCATAAATTTTATATGCCTATTTTATCAAATATCAACGATGATCAAATTTAGCGAATTAAGTTTCTGAGTTCAATTAGGGTTATTGACCATCACCCTGTTATCTATGAAAGCTTGAAATTACGAGACTTGAAAAACTTCGTATTTGATGCCGTATTTATATATGCAATGCGGTGGTGCACAAACTGAATTTTGCGACAATGTTTTGTTCGTTTGTTGAATAATTTTGTTTAGTTTTCCATTTAATGAAGAATATGCTGAATATATTACATATCACTGGACAAATTTTCTGTCCTTTCTCCAATTGTGTAGACATATCTCTTGATTTTTATGTTCTCCATTTTCTTTTACTCGAGAATAATTATTGATTATTTGATTCGGTAGCGTCGATCATTTTCCTTCTTTTGGACCTATTATTATCTTCTCTTGAATCTTTCATGCGAGCAATTCAAATACGAATCATTGAAAATTGAAAAGAAATAAGATTTTGTGCTCTTTTTACTTTGCTCAGGCATCCCTCTGCCATTCGTTTCAGCATTTGCTAAAGATTTATTTATTTATTTGTTTTGACAGAGTGCTTGAAACTTTTTTCGGGAATTTGTTGAAGATAATTTATTCACCTCTTCAATGACATCTAAGCAGGGTTAAGTGCCTCTAGCCAAAAGATTTCACCGACAGCAAAAAAAACATATCCGGTGAGTTCTTATAAATACTCTTTATTTGATCAATTTTATTTACTTATTTACGTTAAATTAATGTTCGGGATTTTATTGATTATATACGGGGTTAGTATTACTAAGAGTGGGTCCGTCCCTTTTTCGTAATTTACCCAAAAGGTAGTTGGGTAAGTTGCCGAATATAACGTGGTAGACGCCTCGTCCAACTACCTACTAGAAATTTTTTCTCAAAAGGTAGTTGAGTAAGTCGCCAAATTAGCTTAAACATGGTAGACGGCTCACCCAACTACCTGCCCCTTTTGAGCTGGTTTTTGCCTTTTAAACAACTTAACATTTCAATGAGTAACCGATGTGGGATAACATCTCACTTTATTATTAGTTTCTTTTTATTTTGCTAGTTCCCAAATATAGGAATGAATTTCATATGCCTAAGTTTGGTTAAAGGTGAGTTATGGCCTTAAAAAAATAAACGACGATCAAATTTAGCGAATTGGTGAAAATTGAAATGAAATAAGATTTGGTGCTCTTTTTACTTTGCTCACGCATCCCTTTGCCATTCGATTCAGCATTTACTAAAGATTTATTTATTTATTTTGTTTTGACAGAGTGCTTGAAACTTGTTTCGGGAATTTCTTGAAGATCATTTATTCACCTCTTCAATGACATCTAATCAGGGTTAAGTTCGTCTTGCCAAAAGATTTCACCCACAGCAAAATAATCATATCCGGTGAGTTCTTACAAACACTTGCTTTACTTGATCAATTTTATTTACCTATTTACATTATATTTTAAGGAATCTCGTTTCTTCTTAATCGTATAGTTTTCATTAGGTAATAATAATCATAGCATGTTTACTTGTTTCGAGTGCTTAAAATTTACTCAAAAAACAAAAAAAAAATATTCAACAGGATTTTGTTGATTCATGTATAACCGGGGTTAGTGTTACTAAGAGTGGGTCCATCCCTTTTTCGTAATTTACCCAAAAGGTAGTTGGGTAAGTTGCCGAATATAACGTGGTAGACGCCTCGCCCAACTACCTGCCCCTTTCGGGCTGGTTTTAGCTTATTAAACAGCACAACATTTCAGTGAATTGTCGATGTGGGACTACACGGACTAAGTTCTGTACACGGCATCTCACTTTATTATTATTATTAATTTTTCTTATTTTTGCAACTCTATTATTTTTAGCCTTAAAATAAACATAACACAGCATCAAATCTTCTTTCCTTTCTCCAATTTGTAGTCATTTATATCTTGATTTTATTTTCTCCGTCGTTTTCTTACTCCCTCTCTCTTCCATGCAAACGCTAAAGTTTTTCCTTTTTTTTTCCTTTTAAATTATGGCAAATTACGGCCGACCCTCTAAGGTAATGCCAAATTACGAAAATCTCCCTCATGTTTGGGTAATGACAATCACCCCTTAACTATGTATTGTCTTATACATCCAACCTTACGGTGTCAAATTTACCTACTAAATAAGGTATTTTTTTTGTAAGAAAACACATAGTTGAAGAGGTAGTTGTAATTATCCAAACATGAAGGTTTTTTTTGTAATTTGACCTTATCTCAGGGGGTGACAGTAATTTCCCCTTTAAATTATAGGATAAATTACACCCACACCCCTGAGGTGAGCTACCCATAGCTCTTTGTTGTCTCCACCACTTCCTGAAACTAATAGTCCGTTAGTACTCGATCGGAATAACGTATCCAATGCATTATCCCATTAGAGTTTCTAACTATGTCTTAGGGGGTGAGTGTAATTATCGATACCACATGGACCTTAAAGTTATTTAAGCATACCTCAGGGGTGTGGGTGTAATTTACCCTAAATTATAAGGTAACAATTTCTAAAGATGACTTCAAGGAATTAGCTCCTTGAGAAATGCTGATTGAGATCTCGAATCCGTTGGCAGATTTCTTTAGTTGCTCAAGAAATCTTGTGAATTTGATTAGAATGATTTATTCTATTTCATTATTTTTTTTTAATAATAACTGACCTTATAAAGAATCGAGTTTGGCAGATTTCTTTAGTTGCTCAAGAAATCTTGTGAATTTGATTAGAATGATTTATTCTATTTCATTATATTTTTTTTAATAACTGACCTTATAAAGAATCGAGTTTGTCGAGAGAAAATGGCAATTTTTATTATGATTTTTTTTTTTGTCATGTATGGTACTCTACTCAGAAACCTTTCAGACTTTAGCAAAAGGTAGCCGGTCAAGTTGCCGTTTTTGGGTTTTTAGGGTTTTTTCCGGTTCGCATTTTTCATTTACGTGTCAGACAACCTAACCGACTACCTGTCTGTTCGTGTCGAAGTAAACCTCTATAACCTGTTTGGCAAATTGTGAATAAGTCGATGTGGGACAAATATTATGATTTCGTACAAATATCGACATCTGCATTCAGCATGAATTCGTTTGTTTCTCTTGAATATGAATAGCTAATTTCGTGCTCTTTTACAGGCAAGTTGGTAAAATTGTAGTGTGACGAGATTGTGCTTTCGAGTAACTGGATAAAATTATATGACGGAGTTTGGAGATTTCGAGAAAACACGTGAAAAAGGTTAGTCGAACAATAGGAAACTGCACAGTCATGTTTAAATTACTTGATGATGGTCAAAATCTTGGTCGATATTATGTTAGCCCCTCTTAAAAGATATACTATATATAAATATTCGATAGATATATAAACAAAATTGATATGATTATACGAATATGGAGATTATAATAAATGTATTAATTGTGAGATCATTCACATTTTTCCTAATTCATCATAAGTAATCCATGCTCTTAACTTAGTGATAGGGGTATAATAGGTATCTGGAGCGATGCGAACACCATGTAATCTGCCCAAACGCTCGCCCTGATTTAGAAGAGGGTTATCTCTATGCTACACCAGGTGAAGGTTTACACCGGGTGAATTTTTACCGTTGATCTACCCACACCAATGTGGATGTGTGTGTGCGCGCGTTTGTGTGCTTATGAATGGTAAGATCTACCCGGTGTAGCATAGTATAAACCAGACGGGCGTAGAGAGCCACACTTAGAGCCATTTAAATAAGTCGGTGGAAACACATAGCATTATTAGTTCGATTAAAACCAAATCGAATAAGAAGAACTTCACAAAGAAAATTTCATTCAATTCGATCGTATGCTTCACTGTTATCAAGTTTAATGGTCATAATTTTTATTTTTTTTTTGCTTGCCCTAGTTCGAATATGATGATTAATCTCAAATGCAACAAGAACATTGTCAGTGATAAGGGCATTGTCAATGGAGTCTTCAAACTCGTTGAGAATCCATAATCTAGAGATTTGTTTCGAAAGGGTTTCCAAATTTAGAGATTTTCTCAAAGTCTGAGTTTTCCTAAAATTTGGATGGAGTTTGGAGACTCTAATATAACTTACTATAGAGACCGTAAAATACTATTGGTTTCTAAATGGATCTCCAAAATAAAATTTGCAGACCCATTTTGCTTACTTACTCCAGTGAGCTTGTTAGACAAATGCAAATTGAGTCGGGGAAATGATGTCGTTTAAGAGAGACTTAAAACGATTACCGATCATTTTAGAAACTATTTTAATAGACGGCATTACTTAGACTGATACGGCGAGATTCAGTTATTCCTTTTGGGGCTCTGGTCATAAGCGGAGTCAGTCAGGATGTTAAGTCCTGGGGGACTGAATGCATTTAAAAAAAAAATAGCGGGGGTCCTTTAATGCTTTCGCACACAATTTTTTTTTCTATATTAATTAAAAGAAATTTAAAAAATATTAGGGGCCATGGCCCCCCTGGTCCTGTGCCAGCTTCACCACTGGTTCTGATTTTGAGGACGAGAACTATGTGAGAACCAAATATTATGAAACTTTTTGAATCATTCAAATCTATCAAACTGAATCTAATTTAGTATGGTTCTTGTCATCAATTAGACTAATTGCCTCTGATTCCGCGAGGTTATTTTAGGTTATTTCTATGCTACACCCGATGAAGACTACATCGGGTGTTTTTTTACCATTGATCTACACATATCAATGTGAGTGTGTTTATTTATGTATATGAATGGTAAAAATGTATCCGGTGTATTTTCACCCGGTAAGAATAGACCGGTTATTTTACGAAGATTATAAACATAGAGATCAAACTATTACATATTCATAGCCTTTTCCTATAGCTCTAATGTATTTAGAGGCGGACCCAAGGCTAGCCAAGGAGGCTGCCGAACCTGCAGAACTTTTTTTTTTTTAATTTATTTCTTTTAAGTTTTTTAATTTTTTTTATTTATATATATTAGGCTATTTTGCCCCCACCCCCATTCAAAAAATCCACTTATAATGTGTTATTTCCTATTGAATGAGTCTAAATAATGATATATGGCTATATTATATTAGCTAAAATATTAAACATATATTTATCAATTGTTAATTCTTTAAAATACCCCTAAAAATTTTCGGGCCGCTACCTCCGAACCCCTTAAACCATTTGTTCATTATTACCCAACTCGTCGCCCCCCAAACAAAAAGTTGCTGGATCCGCCCCTGATTATGTATAGTTGACAATGTTATACATAATAAGTTGTAATTTGTAAATAATTAACTTCTCAAAAGAAAAATGTAAATAATTTCTCATGATTATTAGTTAATTTTATTATTGCATTTCACATTCAAATTAACAAGTGCACATGTAATATTATTTTTCTACAACATTCATTTGTATCAACCGCCCTTAACATTTTTTCCCGACGAGACCATCGGTTCCGGCCAACATCCGGTACTTATCCTTCCTCGTAAGATTAGTACACTCGAACTCCAAAGCCCGACCAATCGTTTCTTGCACATTATTCGCAACCTCGTAGCTCGATTTACCGGACCCGCCACACGTTCGCTCGGGCGACAACTTGTCCAAAAACGTGACCTCGTATTCGGGCCTAGGGTTCATAGCGAAGAAGAACATGTCAAGCCATTTACGGCCTCTTACGGTAGTCGGATAAAACACACCCACTCTCAAATCGACCGCCACAGGCACAATCTCGTCGGTTAATTCCGCAAACAGCGACGAAAACCTCAGCAAATAATTTTCCCGACAGGTTGTTCCTTCGGGGAATATGACCAAATCGTGTCCTGATTTAAGGATGTCCGATATTATCTTAGCATCGTCGACCCGGTTCCTCGTCAGCCGACGGGTTTTCACCGGCGACACTATCTCGGTTAGTCTTGCTATAGAGTAGGCTACGCTGGTGGTGGAGCGGCCGAGGGCGGCACTTACGATGGTACTGTCGATGAGACTTCTGTGGGAACAAACAAACGCGACTCCGTTGGAGTTTTTGGCTTTAGGAGGTGGGGCCCGTTTAATTGTGATTGGGCAGCCTATAATATGGAAAATGTAGTAGGTTAAAGAAAGAGGGGATAGCGCCACGAAGATAGCGCGGAGTATGGATAACGGAACGGCGATTGGGAACCATAGAATGATTAGTAACGCCGTTAGTGGTGTGGGTTTTTGAACGAGGCGGCCGTCGTGGAAAATAACTGGCTTCGGGAGGTCTTCCGGTTTCACGGGGCGGATGCGCGGCTTCGATGGAACTGTGTACTTCTCCTGCAAACAATTTACTTTTCGAATTCAAACACATGAAAATTTATTATCAAACACTCTTTAGACAAAGGAAGATTCGGATCGAAATTTAAGAGTTCAATTTTAATTCCAGGAAATAATTCCGAGAATTTCAAAAAAAAAAAAATCAAAAAATAATACTTATAACATCAGTATTATTATGTATTTTATATTATAGATGAATAGAAAATAAAATATTCGATTTCCGTTGATTCTGATCTGAAAATTTTCAAGTTTGGAGAAACTTGTTTCGTTTCCAATTTCTAAGTTCCGGTTTCAATTTTCATCGATTTTTTCTGAAAATGAATTTGGAATAGTTTTCTACTTATGAAAAAATTGTTGGTTTTCTTTTTTCCTTCCAAAGAGCTAATTTTGATTCGATCATTCCGATTTCCACCTCTACGTGGCTTGCACACTATTTGCCTTTCTTATTTACAAAAGAAAAAAAAACTTTATAGTAGAGTTTGAAACCAAGGGGGGAAGGAGTAAACCTTGCATAGATTCATGAATAAGAAGTCACTAGTCTCCACGTCACCGATCCCAATCTCCGGCACCGACGAATCCTCAAACACCTTCCCAACAGCCACCACCTTCGCCTCACCGGAAAGCACCCCCGGAGCCGCCACGAACCCGGTGGCAACACCTCTCCACGACAAAATCTCAGTACCCAAAACAAAATCCACATCCAAATAGTTCTTCAAGAAAGGCTCAACCATAATCCTAGGATTCACCGTCACCACACATTTTCTCCCACCGCAAGCCGACAGCACGCGCCACGTGTCGGGGTGCAAGTCCTCCGAGTAATGCTTCGGCAACACAGCATTTGCAGCCGACTTGATATCCTTAATTCTAACCCCGGCAAAACACGCGAATACGAGAACTCGAACCTCGGCAGATTCCGACACTAGATGCCGACAAATCCAGGCCAAGGGTGCAGCCAGGAGCAATATCAGTAGCCGTAAAACCCCGCCAACGTCGAAAGCAACTAACGCGAAGTACGGGAAAGAGCCGCACTGTGTGAGCAGAGCTCTGTCCATCTCTGCCACAACGCTGTCGTTTTCTCGACCCTTGGATACGCACTGTTTGATGGTTGGCGTTTTGCTAGCAGCCATTATTTTTTTTCGTTCAGGCTTTTTAACAAACACCTTGTTATGATTGATTTTGTTAATGTGTAATTAGCTACGCTGGCGATGGTTTAAATAATGGATTAGCTGTTAATTATTACCTATTCCTCGTATCATCTATACTCTTTAGTACTCCTTTACGCCATTAATGCCACACGAAAGAAATCCAAAATCACACGCAACAAGTACAAATTAGAACTGGATATTTAATTTATCGTATGTAATTAGCATATAGCTATTAGGCATAAATCATAATGACAAGAAAATTGTATATGGCAATTGGCTTAATTCCATTTTGCACCCTTGAAATATAGTTTTTTTCGCATTATGCACCCTCAAAAAAGTTTATAACACTTTGCACCCTCGAAACAGAATAAAAAATCATGCATAATAATGAATTCCTAATAAATTTTTATGAAAGTATTTAATATTTCTAGTGGTATTTTTTTAGAATACCAAATTTTAAATCATTTTTTCCTTTTCCTTTTGAAACTACAAAGTGCAAAAATTAAAACATATCTGATCATTATATTTAGGGTAAATTACAACCACCCCTGAGGTATGGTCAAATTACGAAAACCCCCCTCTTATTTGGATAATTACATCTACTCATCAACTATAAATCTTCTTACACATCTACCCTTATAGTGTCAAATTCAACATAACCATCTAGATTATGTGGAATGTGCTCTAATTTGTACTCGTTTTGTGCAAAAATACAATTTCTGGTGCACCACAATCTGATATATACAAGACAAAATATACATCTCATGATCATCTTGCTTCAAAATGTGGAGCTCGAATGGGATAAAACGGGTACAAAAGTGATGATATTCCATATAATCTCGAAGATTCCACTAAATTTGAAACCGCAAGGGTGAACGTGTAAGAAAAATTTTATAATTGAGGGGTTATTGTAATTACCCAAACAAGAGAAGGGTTTTCGTAATTTTACCATACCTCAGGGGTGGTTGTAATATACCCTTATATTTAAAAAAAAATCACACACAAATATTTTACAAAAAACAAAAAGAACAAAATTCCTTCGACTATTATGTTATCAAGTTATTTAAAAATCATATTTTCTTCCAACAATTTCTTCCAAATATTTTCACCAATTACAATAAATGATCCATGATGCGAATAATTTGGTGAGAATTTTGTTTTCTGCAAGAAATTATAGTTTTTTTCAATAATTCGTTGTGATTTTTTTTCCACATTTTGTACGCTCGAATTTATGTCGGAGGTAGAAGAAAATAAAAAAAATTAATTCGTTATTTTGCATCCCGGAAACAACGTAACAAACCAATAAACACTCGGAAGGCCTAGAAAAAGTCGAACTGGCGAGGTTCGACGTAGCTCATATGCAAAGCATCGTTTCACTAGTATAAATCCTCTAAAAAACAAACCACTAGTATAAGAAACTACATAGTTACTAGTGATTCTATCGTAAAATGAGTTTACGTATCGCATTTTAATTCATAAATAGACGTGTAAGAAGATTCATTTCAACCACCTTTAACTTTGTCCCCAACAAGACCATCGGTCCCAGCCAACATCCGATACTTGTCCTTCCTCGTAAGATTAGTACACTCAAACTTCAAAACCCTACCAATCATTTCTTGTACATTATTCGCAACCTCGTAGCTCGATTTACCGGACCCCCCACAAGTTTGCTCGGGCGTTAACTTGTCCAAAAACGTGATCTCGTAAACGGGCCTAGGGTTCATAGTGAAGAAGAACATGTCGAGCCATTTACGACCTCTTACGGTCGATGGATAAAACATGCCCGCCCTTAAATTAATAGCCACCGGCAAAATCTCGTCGGTCAATTCGGCGAACAACGACGAAAACCTTAGGAGATAGTTCTCGCGGCAAGTTGTTCCCTCGGGGCATATAACCAAATCAAGCCCCGATTTGAGAATGTCCGAAATCAACTTCGCGTCGTGGGCCCGGTCCCTCATGAGCCGACATGATTTAAGCGGGGAGACAATCTCGGTGAGTCTCGATACGGAGTAGACTATGCTGACGGCGGGGCGGCCGAGGGCGACGCAGACCATGACACTGTCGACGACGCTTTTGTGGGAGCAAACAAATGCGACGCCGTTTCCGTGGGAACGGTTGGGTTTGGGAGGTGGGGCCCCTTTGACTATGATTGGGAAGCCTATTAGATGGAAAATGTAGTAAGACAAAGAGAGAGGGATTAGTTGTGTGGCGATGAGGGTACGAAGTATGGATAACGGAACGGCAATCGGGAACCATAGAATGATTAGTAACGCCGTTAACGATGTGGGTTTTTGAACGAGACGGCCGTCGTGGAAGATCACCGGCTTCGGGAGCTCATCGGGCTTCACGGGGCGGGCACACGGCTTCGATGGGACTGTGTACTTCTCCTGCAAAAAGTTTTCCCAACAACTCTTATAAGAATCGATGTTTTTTCCGTTAACTGAAAAAAAAATCCGTTCGGTGTTCGGTAATTTTTTTTTTGAATTCCGGTATGCAATATAGTATACGGTATTGATGCCTGATATACAGTACCGTACCGTATCAAATACCAAAATATTTATTATATATTTATTTATTTTTTCTTTTAATTTAAATCCTTTAAGTTCTTAAAAAAATTAATTTTTTTATAGATTGATAATTTTTTGCACTGTTTACAAATTAACCTTTGTTGATGATTATTTTTTGGTTTTTAGGGTTGAATATTGAAATTTGAATGTCAAATTCAAGAATTAATATTTTTTTTATTTTTTTTACCTTTTCTAGAATTAGAATATATATTTCAGTTTTACCGGTACCGAACCATATGGACACCCCTAAACATAATAATAGAGTTTAAACAAAGGGAGAAGTAATAAACCTTGCAGAGATTCGTGAACGAAAAATCAATAGTTTCCGCGTCACCACCAATCCCAATCTCCGGCATCGGCGAATCCTTGAAAACCTTTCCAACAGCCACAGTCTTCGCCTCACCGGAAAGCACCCCCGGAGCCGCCACAAGCCCGGTGGCGACGCCCCTCCACGACAGAATCTCAGTACCCAAAACCGCATCCACATCCAAATAGTTCTTCAAGAAAGGCTCAACCATAATCCTAGGATTCACCGTCACCACGCATTTTCTCCCACCACACGCTGACAGCACGCGCCACGTGTCGGGGTGCAAGTCCTCCGAGTAATGCTTCGGCAACACGGCATTTGCAGCCGACTTAATGTCCCTAATTTTAACCCCAACAAAAGTTGCGAACACGAGAACTCGAACCTCGGCAGATTCCGACAACAGATGCCGAGAAATCCAAGCCAAGGGTGCAACCAATAGCAATAGGAGTAGCCGTAAAATCCCACCAACGTCGAAAGCAACTAAGGCGAAATACGGGAAAGAGCCGCGCTGCGTGAGCAGAGCTCCGTCCATGTCGGCCACAACGCTGTGGTTTTCTCGCCCCTTGGATTCGCATTGTTGGATGGTTCGGGTTTTCGTAGCATTAGCAACCATTTTTTTCGTTTAGGATGTTCAACAAACACCTTATTTGGAATAGTCTTATGTAACTACTAGCCACACTACGCCTATTTAAATAACTTTGGCCATGCAATCCAAATTAAAATTTCCCCTTTTTTGTGTTTTCATTTGTTTACATTCGTAATGTAATTCATTAATGCTTAACTAACCCACCCGACATGCAATTCAACTGATTCAAGTTGGATTAAATAGTCAACTTAAAGGACTAAAAGATTAGCTTTTTGAGTTTTGCTACATTCAGACTGAAAAGGGCTCAAAATCACATTTGAAGTCAGATTGATACCTAAAAGTAGGGGTGTAAATGAGTTGATCAGCAATAGCTCGATCTCGAACTCCAACTCGAGTTTTTCGAGCACGAGCTTGTTCTTAATTGTTTGCGAGTCGGCTCGCAAGCCTACTTTTTATTTTCATTTTTTTATTTCTATAAATTATTTTTTAATTTAGATAACATATTAATAATATACAATATTATAATAATAATAATAATATAAAAAGTACATATACAAATTAACAATATAAATAAATTAGAAAAAAAAAAAAAAAAGAAAAAAAAAAAAAAGAACAAATGAGCTTGGGCTCGAGCTCAAAAAAACACTCGACGAGCTCAAACTAGTCAAAATGGACTTGAGCTGAAGCTCGCCAAAATAGCCAGGCTCGGCTTGTTTACACACGTACCTAAAAGATTGAAACAAAATTTAGAAATTTAGTTTTAACTAATAATGCATATAATTAATCACATTCACATGTAGTTTAGTGATAATAGGGTCTAATATGAGCCGGCCTAGTGAGGTTATAATCTACCATAACAAACCCTACCCGCGCCAAACCTCTTACCTTTATTCAATACTCAAAGTCTTTGCATAATAATGTATATTACCTATTTTTCAGTCCTATGGTTGATGCAGATTTTTTAACCACCTAAAGTAAAACTACAAAAGTAAATTACTAGCAATATAGTAAAATAAGATATCTTTTACGGCGGCTCTTTCGTTCGAACTCCGATTGCGGTGTCTAATTGGGTCAGTCCAATAAGTCTACAATTTCTTAATCTATTGGACCACGAGCCCAACTTTGAAAACCACTATAACAAAGGTCCAATCATCTTCAAATAAGGTTTGGGTCCGACAATCAGTGAATAAATTCTAACCCAACCAACTCAGTGTAAATAGAGGTTATAAGTCATTTTGTTTAGGTGTGTTCTAATATTCTATCGATACAACTTCCAGCATTCTCTTTACGACTTTTGTTGTCCACACGTCTAACTTGAGCGTCGGAAGGGTTTTCGCCGGATCACCCCCAGCTTAGTTTACGTGTTCTCTAATCAACAGGTATCTCGGGATCATCAAGCTCGTGAGCCAATGATTCACTTTGTTCTTCCGGCTCATCATATCTCAACTACATCAGGTGAATAATCTCTAGCATCATCAATATTCATAGTAAATTAGGACATTATTAGATTTAAATATTCATAAATCAAAATGGGATCGGAAATTGAAATCTAATATGTATCTTATTCTGTTTCTTAAAAAATCAATAAAATCATAAAATCAGAACTTTCAGGATTCGAAATGAAAAATATTGTTCTAATATCGGAAATATTTGGATAGAAATAATCTGGAATATTCTGCAGGCTTAGCCCATGGCTTAATGTTCGGCCCAGTCCAGTTGACCTACTGCCTTTGCTAGATGGATCCTCCTATATGGGCTCGGCCCACGGCCCGAATTCAGTCTCCATTTATGAACCAAACAGATCCTAAAGAAAAAAAAAATCCTAAAAAAAAAAATATATATATATATATATTAATACATATATATATATATATATATATAAATAAAATTAATAAAAGGGGATTTAGTGCAGATTTTTTTGAAATTTTATATTGCGAACTTTTGTTAAGGAATCAAAGTTTGAAACTTCTAAATAATATTCCTTGGAATATTCTAAAGCATAAATTCTCCATTAATTTAAATTTCACTTGTTTCAATTTTATTTTATTTAATCATAATTTCTAAATTCTTGAAATTATTAATATAACAAAATGTGTCTGAATATTAATCATGAATAAACATAGGAGCTATGTAAGATATTTCTGAAACCATAGAGCATATCTAGGGTATTAGATGGGCGAACGTATTGCATTAGCAAGTGTGATTAGTTTAACCCCCATTAGGATTATTTTATTTATAAATACAAAAAGGTACCTTATTTTAATATTTATTTTCGTTAATTACAATTCATTAGTATAATTGTATCATCACTCATCATTTGGCATTTTTCACCTTTAATTTTAGGTAAATAGCACTTAACTCCCCTGTAGTTTGAACTTTGTGCGTATGACCCCTTGTAATTTCAATATAAGCAAATAACCCTCTGTAGTTTAAAGTTTGGGCACATGACCCCCTTGTACTTTTAGATAACCCCCTATAGTATTCCAGTTGCTAAATGATCATGCTCGTTACTAAGAGGAAACTTTTATTAAAATTAAAAGGATGTTATGTGCTTATATTAAAGGCTGAATTCCACTTTCCACCCTTGTACTTTGGCTCCGTACCACTTTACCCCATTTTACTCTCGATTGCATCGATTAGCCCCGTGTACTTGAGGCCCTTGTCATTAGTATGTAGACCTTTAACTTGAACACTGTTTCGTGTAAAGTTTGAAAATTACAAAAACGTCACCCCTCCCAGTTTAAATAATTATAATAAAAAAAATTGTGTTTTTGTTGCTGCCGTCGTGGACTATGCTTTCCAGATTGTATTAATTTATGAAGATTTAACTGTATACATCTATATGTGTGTAAAACGTGCTTAATATGATATAACCTGGTGAAATTCGTCAAGTATATCTTCACACTATGGAATGTCGGGGCCAAATTTTATCAACCGATCGAAAAACGATATGTTTTCGGAATTACTCACTATATTACCCTTAAACTCCAAATTTAGTACCTAATCAAAATTATGAATTAATTCTCACAATAAATTAATGTCTAAAAACCTAATCCTAAGCAAGACTCCATAAATAAATGTGTCATATTCCTATAGCCAATTGCTTTTTGGACTTGGAATAACGTTTAAAATATTCAATTTTATGTCTCTATTATTAATGAAAACGAAGCAATATTATGCCATATAGGCATATACCATCACTCTTTGTCCTTTTCTCTTTGTGCAATTTTTAGCTACTATACAACTTGGACTTAATACCACTTTGCACCCTTGAATGAAATATTTTTGAACTTTACACCCTTGAAAAATAATAGTAGCACTTTACACCTTTTGAAAATAATAGTAGCACTTTGCACCCTCAAAACACAATAAATCATTCACCATACAAAATAAACTTTTATTACTAAATTATTCGATTGATAGATCTTTTAATCTAATTGGTGGAAATATTAGATAAATATTTGGAAGAAAATTTCATTTTCAGATAACTTGACAATGAATAGCTGAAGGAATTTTTTTTTTTGATAAAAAACTTAAGTTTTTAGTATGTTGATGAACTATATTTTTATTTTGCACTTTATAATTTCAAAATGATTAATGAGTAAAAAAATGGACATTAGGCATTCTTGAAAAATACCACTAAAAATATTAAATTACTTTTATTAGCTTTAAAAATTCATTTAAAATACAATACGCATGATTTATTGTATTTCGAGGATGCATGCAAAGTGCTATTAATTAGTTTTCAAGGTGCAAAGTGCAAAATGATATATTTCAAGGGTACAAAGTGGGATTAACTCCGTCGGTTTTTGTTTCTTCCACCTCAACAATTGAGACAACAGTGGTCTTAATTATTTGCCAAAATCCACTTTTATGTACATACTATTATAATATATATTTACAAAAAGAAAATAATAAAGAAAAAAAAAACAGGTAAACTAATCTAATGAAGGAATGACAAATGGACTAAAAAACAATTGCAAAAAGATTTTTCTAATTGCAGAAAATTACTTTAAAAAAAACAAACAAAACTTAAAAAAGGGTAAAAAAGGATAAAAATTCTTGATTTTGCAGAAATTGAAAAGAAATAGAAAGAGTAAGGGCTTATTGACAAAAAAAGAGAGAACTAGTTTCTTGACTAGTAGAACTACTCAAGAGCTGTTCCAAATAATCAGCACCCAAGTCCTCAAACACCACCACATTCTCCACCTTCACCACCTCCCTCCGCTTCGCCGTCCGACCGCCGCCGTTGCGCCGCCGCATGGAGTGCTTCCTCTTCAGCGCCATCACCGGCGAGCACCCCGCCTCCTCGTCGATGCAACTCCTGATCTCCCTCAGAGACTCCCTCACCCTCTCCACCGGGTAGTTGAGCACCGCCGCCTGCCCCCGCATGGCGAACGCCGCCTGGTCGTACGCCATCGCCGCCGCCTCCGCCGTGTCGAACGTCCCCAGCCAAACCCTCACGCCGTTCCTCGTCGAGTCCCTTATCTCCGCCGCAAACTTCCCCCACGGCCGCGCCCTCACGCCGCGGAACGACTTCCCATTCGCCGGCCTCACAACCATCTCCGCCGCCGCCGCCGCCGCCGCCGGCGAGGAACTCACTTCTTCGTTCTCCTTCGCTCGGCTCCGCCGCCGCTCGCCGGAGTTGGAGGCCGAGGTGGTTTCTTGTGCCGCTTCCGCCAGAACGCCGAACAACAACATCTCCTGGGAATCGTTTTCGTTGAACGGAAGGAAATTCGTGAAGGATTGCGAATCCCATTCCGACGACAAGATGGAATATTCCGGCGAGTTAATATCAGAGGAAAAGTCACTGCTCATTGTTGACTGGAAAACAGAGGAATATTGTAAATCCATTTTCTTTTTTTCTTTTTTGCTAATTATTTATTTTTGTTGGAAATTATTGTTTGGGAAATGAAATGTAGGAACGAAGGCTGTATATATATACCCCTTGAACGAGGGAAAAAAAGGATCTAAATGTCAAATAAAATATAAAAATATGTCAAATGGGTAAATACCAAAAAGATGGTTTTTTTTAAAAAAAAAGTGAGGGGCAAAAGAGGAAATAAAAATAACTGAAAGGGATTTTGCCAGGGAGGATGTTTCTTGATTATAAAAATTGTTTTTTGTGGGACAAGTGGGGATAATATTACACGTGGGTCAAAGCTTGCCAGCCAGGCGGCTGCTTACGTCATAATATATGGGATTTCACACGTCAGCAATCTTGTCGTCTTTTGTCCAACATTCTATCGTTATGTTTTGTGCTTGTTTAATCATTTACTATTTATTCAAGAAAATAGAGTGTAATTTGGTATCTTGTTTTAGCATCATTGCTGAAATTGGAATTAATATCTTTTTATAAGTATTTTAATATATATATATATATATATATATATATATATATATATATATATATATATATATATATATATATATATATATATATATATATATATATATATCTGTAGATATATATATATATATATATATATATATATATATATAGAGAGAGAGAGAGAGAAAATATATGTTCTGTTTGTCTTACAAATTACAGAATCTCTGTGTGAGAGAGTTTTTTTTTCTCTTGAGATCTTTGCAGAGTAACATCATTTCAGTTGTCACAAAAACAATAATTAATTATTGTGTGTTTATATATATATATGTGGTAATATATAGATAAATTTATATATATATATATATATATATATATATATATATATATATATATATATATATATATATATATATATATATATATATATATATATATATATATATATATATATATATATATATAGTAGACTTGCCGTATAGCTATGATTATTGTCACATTTATCCCATATATCTCGAGTTTTGTGCAAAAAGTACCCCTGTGTTATCTTGAAATAGCAAAAACCCCCCTGTGATAAATAAACTAGCAAAAACCACCCTTGTG